AAAAATGTGGAGATTGAACAAAATGCTACTGAACAATGATTGGGTCAATGAAGAAATCAAAGAAGAAATAAAAAGATTCCTGGAGACAAATGAAAATGAAAACACGACATGCCAAAATCTGTGGGATACAGCAAAAGCGGTTCTACAAGGGAAGTTTATAGCAATTCAGGCCTACCTCAGCAAAGAAGAAAAATCCCAAATAGACAATCTAAAAGTGCACCTAAAGGTAGTGGGAAAAAAACAACAAACACAGCCCAAAATCAGCAGAAGGAAGGAAATAATAAAAATCAGAGCAGAAATAAACAAAATAGAGACTAAAAAAACAATAGAAAGAATTAATGAAACCAAGAGCTGGTTCTTCGAAAAGATAAGCAAAATTGACAAACCCTTGGCTAGACACACCAAGAAAAAAAAGAGAGAAGGCTCAAATAAATAAAATCAGAAATGAAAGAGGAGAGATTACAACGGACACCTCAGAAATACAAAAGATAATAAGAGAAAACTATGAAAAGCTATACACCAAGAAATTGGATAATCTAGAAGAAATGGATAAATTCTTAGAAGCATACAACCTTCCAAAACTGGACCAAGAAGATGTAGAAAATTTGAATAGACCAATCACCAGTAAGGAGATTGAAACAGCAATTAAAAACCTCCCAAAAAATAAAAGTCCAGGACCAGATGGCTTCCCTGGTGAATTCTACCAAACATTCAAAGAAGACTTAATACCCATCCTTGTCAAACTCTTCCAAAAAATTGAAGAGGAGAGGAGGCTTCCTAACTCCTTCTATGAAGCAAACATTATCCTGATACCAAAACCAGACAAGGACAACACAAAAAAAGAAAATTACGGGCCAATATCACTGATGAACATCGATGCAAAAATCCTCAATAAAATACTAGCAAATCGAATACAATACATTAAAAAGATCATACATCATGATCAAGTGGGTTTCATTCCGGGGATGCAGGGATGGTTCAACATCCACAAATCTATCAACGTGATACACCACATTAACAAAATGAAGAATAAAAATCACATGATCATCTCAATAGATGCAGAGAAAGCATTTGACAAGATATAGCATCCATTTATGATAAAAACTCTAAATAAATTGGGTATAGAAGGAAAATACCTCAACATAATAAAGGCCATATATGACAAACCCACAGCAAATATCATTCTCAATGGAGAAAAACTGAAAGCTATCCCTCTAAGAACAGGAACCAGACAAGGATGCCCACTGTCACCACTCTTATTTAACATAGTATTGGAAGTCCTAGCCGGAGCAATCAGGCAAGAAAAAGAAATAAAAGGGATCCACATTGGAAAAGAAGAAGTGAAACTGTCACTCTTTGCAGATGACATGATTTTATATCTAGAAAACCCTAAAGAGTCCACTAAAAAACTTAGAAATAATAAAGGAATACAGTCAAGTTACCAGTTACAAAATCAATGTACAAAAATCCGTTGCATTTCTATACACTAACAACGAAGTAGCAGAAAGAGAAATTAAGAATACAACCCCATTTACAATTGCAACAAAAAGAATAAAATACCTAGGAATAAACTTAACGAAAGAGGTGAAAGATCTGTACACCAAAAACTATAAAACGTTGTTGAAAGAAATCAAAGAAGACACAAAGAAATGGAAAGATATTCCATGCTCTTGGATTGGAAGAATTAACATTGTTAAGATGTCCATACTTCCTAAAGAAATCTATAGATTCAACGCAATCCCTATCAAAGTTCCAACAACATTTTTTACAGAAATAGAACAAAGAATCCTAAAATTTATACGAAACAACAAAAGACCCCAAATAGCCAAAGGATTCCTGAGAAAAAAGAACAAAGCTGGAGGTACCATACTCCCCGATTTCAATTTCTACTACAAAGCCATAGTAACCAAAACAGCATGGTACGGGCACAAAAACAGACACACAGATCAATGGAACAAAATTGAGAGCCCAGAGGTAAACCCACACGTTTATGGACATTCGACAAGGAAGCCAAGAGCATACGATGGAGAAAGGAGAGTCTCTTCAACAAATGGTGCTGGGAAAACTGGACAGCCACATGGAAAAGAATGAAAGTAGACCATTCCCTTACACCATGCACAAAAATCAACTCAAAATGGATTAAAGACTTGAATGTAAGACCTGAAACCATGAGACTTCTAGAAGAAAACATAGGCAGTACGCTCTATGACATTGGTCTAAGCAGCATATTTTCAAGTCCCATGTCTGACCGGGCAAGGGAAACAAAAGAAAAAATGAACAAATGGGACTACATCAAACTAAAAAGTTTCTGCACAGCAAAGGAAACCATCAACAAAACGAAAAGACAACCTAACAATTGGGAGAAGATATTTGCAAACCATATATCAGATAAGGGGTTAATATCCAAAATATACAAAGAACTCATACAGCTCAACAACAAAAAAACCAACAATCCAATTAGAAAATGGGCAAAAGATCTGAACAGAGATTTCTCCAAAGAAGAAATACAGATGGCCAACAGGCATATGAAAAGATGCTCAACATCATTAGCTATCAGGGAAATGCAAATCAAAACTACAATGAGGTATCACCTCACTCCGGTCAGAATGGGTATAATTAACAATACAGGAAACAACAAATGTCGGAGAGGGTGTGGAGAGAAGGGAACCTTTGTTCACTGCTGGTGGCAGTGCAGACTGGTACAGCCACTATGGAAAGCAGTTTGGAGAATCCTCAGAGAATTAAGGATAGATCTACCATATGATCCACCTATTCCACTGCTGGGTATGTATCCAAAGAACTTGAAAACACAAAGGCATAAAGATACTTGCAGCCCTATGTTCATTGCAGCATTGTACACAATAGCCAAGACTTGGAAACAACGTAGGTGCCCACCAAGGGACGAATGGATAAAGAATCGGTGGTATTTATACACGATGGACTACTACTCAGCCATAAGAAATGACGAAATCCGGCCATTTGTGACAACATGGATGGACCGTGAGGGTGTTATGCTGAGTGAAATAAGTCAGAGGGAGAAAGTCAAATACCATATGATCTCACGCATAAGTAGAAGAGAAAAACGACAAAAAAAAACACATAGCATTGGAGATTGGACTGGTGGTTACCATTGGGGAAGGGGGGAGGGGGGAGGGCAAAAGGGGTGATTAGGGTCACATGTGAGGAGATGCACTATAATTAGTGTTCGGGTGGTGAACATGATGTAATGTATCCAGAATTTGAAATATGATGTACATCCGAAAAAAATAAAAATTTTAAAAAATTTTAAAAAATTTTTTTAAAATTAAAAAAAAAGAAGACAGTGAGTACTTAATAAAGGTTAGGCCTGAAAATATAAGAAAAGTGGAACATTTTGCCATATGGTAATAATATCTGCATAAAATTTTTAAATGAAAAGTCTATTTTGTAAACTTCTCAAATGTATGTCTATAATCCATTTAGTTTTTGAAGAATATATAAAGACTTTATAAAAGTAAAAATTGTTGACTTTGTAAACTGTGCCCTTTCCTCAAGCTTCAGTTTCAACCAGCATCCCTCCAGACCTCCAAAATGCGAACATAGGCATGCCTTATGGCGCCATCTGGTGTCGAAGGGTTATTAATACAATCTGCTCTCCTCCAAACAAGCTTCCTATTGCAGGTGTAGAGATTTCCTGAGCCGCTATTCCGAAGGGGCCGGGAACGCCTGCAATGCTGGGTTTGTACAATGAGCATGTATGTCTATTGTAATGTGAAAAAGAAACAATAAAAGTTATATGTAAAAACTTAAAAAGAAGCATCCTGTGTTGGACGAAGTCAGGAGCCTGAATGAAGAGACAGAAACATCCATTGTTCTTCCAAGATCATCGTGACTGTGCCGCAGCTCAGCAGCTCCAACACAGGCCGGCCAAGGGTCATGGCTGCTTAGAACCCAGGTCACGGGGCTCCTCGAATCTACTTCTGCTTTTATTTTCATAATAACTGATACTAATGTTGCTCTGTGACAGGACTATAATAGGCCATGCACGTGTATAAGGTTTATGCTGAGAAAAACGGCAAGAATGGGACTCACACAGTTGTGGCAAGAATTCAAGACTTGGCAGTTGGAGTCGTTGGAAGAGGCTGCAGCATGCACAGGGTTTGATAACCAGAGGGCGACGGTGTGACCGCAGCACGGGGCGGGTGGGACACGTAGGGAAGGGGGAGGGGACTGGAAAGACGGCTTTAAATGTCCTGGAAGACTGGAAAGATGGCGTGTTAGGACTTCAGCTGGAGTTTGGATATGCTCAGTAGGTTATTGGCAGGATTTTTTTTCAAGCATTTTAAGCGCACTGATCCCACGATTCTATCTTTTAGAATTTTGTGAGTGTTTGTGTGTAATATAGAAGATGGATGAAAAAAACAAAAAACAGAGGCAGAGCTACCAGTCTGGAAGCTATTGGAGTAGTGCAGGATTTAGAAAAATAAAAATAAGCAAAAAGGCCTGAAATCGGGGGTAGGACAACAGGAATGGAGACAACACAGAGGATGACAGAGGCGTGGTGGAGGCAGGAGGAAGGGGCTCGGCGATCAAACGGAAGCAGAGCGTGACTGAGGAGACGTTAACAGGTGGCCGCTCCGGCTGCGATGACGCGACCGGCAGGCACCGCAGATGGTTTGATCATCACAGTTTGTATGGACAGAAAGCACCCCACAACTACGAATCTGCTCCGCTTTAACAAGTCACCACTTGCCACGCCATCCTGGCTTATCATAGCGACATAGAGCCCCTTCAGACCCTGGAGGACACGGCGTTCATTGCTCTATGTCCAGCCACCTCCGCATTAAGCACCAGGTCAAAGGAGCAGTGGCATGGATAACTTAAAACAAGACACTTCTAAAATATCAGTTTTAGAGTGTGGGTATGTTTATTAAAGAAGTAAATTTTGAGGAAAAAAAAAAGAAAAGAGAATGTTGGTAAAAGTTAAGAATTCCAAGTGACTATTTTTTTCCACTTGACAGGTATTTCCTGAGTGTTTTATCTGGCAGGCACTTGTGGAGGCTCTGGGGAGACGGGGTGGACAAGGCAAAAAGAGCGCCTGTTCTCATGAAGAAGACCTTCTGGCACAGGAGCCAGACGTTTCACAGGTGATCACATAAGTATATTTTATTTGTGATTATGATAAGTATTATTTAATACTTTTGTGTCCTCTGATCCCTATCTATCAGCCAGTGATTAAAACTGAATATAAATAGTAGAACTACATAACTGTGGTAAAAGATTTGTCCCAAGAAAGGCCCTTGTGATATTTTTGTTTGAACTGTGGAAATATTGATGTTTGATACAGAGTCCCCTGGAATATATTTCATAATTTTTAAGTTAAACTTTTAATTTCAATGTCCCCTGAAATTCAGATGTGGGTTCCTGGAAGGTGTGGTAGGTGCTTTGGACAGGGAAGCTGCAGCCAAGGACGTGTGGTGGCTCTGCCACCATCAAGTGGTGAGGGAGCCTGGGAAAATCTAATCTCTTTGGGCTTCACTTTCCTCATAAGTAAGGTAAGGTTGTTACCAGATTCTCCAAGTTCCCTTCCTGCTCAGTTTTCTCTGAGTTCATGAGGGCCTGAGTTGTGTGTTAAATGTGCACTGGGAACTGTAGCTGGGACCTGGCCTTGGTCTCATCTCTGTGTGTCTCTTGCAGGAGCCTGAGCTGACCCCACACACAGAAAACACAGAACTTGAGGGAGCAGATGGAAGAAAGAAAATCAGCAGGTTGGAGGGTGAAAAGAACCCAAAGAAGGGCCATGCATTTGTGGAGCAGGTGGTTGCCAAAGGGGGTGAGAATAAGGACAAGCTGAGTTCAGAAAAGTTAAGGGAAACCGAGGAATGTGTACAGCATCATCCAGCTCCTCAAGGAGCAGGCTGAGCTGAGCAGTGAGGACTGGGAGAGTAACTTACTCCACAGCGAACCTATGCACCTGACAAGGAGATCCAAGGATGGATCAGGGTTGGTTTCTACTGATGAGAAGCAGTAATTCCAAGAGGTGGAGGATGCAAACATGAGGCTCAACCTTGAAGCTGCCCTCAGAGTGGATGCCCTGCCAGTAAGTGTGGGCTTAGGGGGGATAAATGGTGTTTGGAGAAGGGTTGGAGAAGTCCATTCCTACCTTAAACAGTTTTACCCTCAGGTCAGGAGGGGTCAGAGTAAGGAGACCCTTACATCTGAAGCAGTGATACTCATGATATTCTTCTGCATTACAGTTGAGAAAGGCTTTACGCACAATCTCTCTTAAATATTTGTTGAGGTCTTAATTTTCCTTATGCCGTGCTAAGAACTTGGAGTTCAGATATCGATAAGGTTTCCCTGAGGAAATCAAAGCAGTGAGAGGAAGAATATAAATAATTTCAACACAGTGTGGTAGCTCTCATAAACTGGGGTGTTGTGGCAGCACAGAGGATGGGAGGGTAGGCTGAGGATATCTCTTCCTAATGACAGGGTGAACCATTGAGGGAATCCCTGAGGACAGTCCATCTCATCAGAGCTCTGCACAGGTGAGAGTCATAGGGCATGGAGAGTGTAGGCCAGCCTCCTCTCTAAGGAAGGGGATCTGCAACATCCCGAGAGATGGCAGAGCATCCCTGACAGGACATTTGGGACAGGAAAGTAGTGAGATGATTGGAGGTTTGCAACCAATTTTATTCCATCAGTGAACAAATGTCGCTGACAGCCTCCTCAGTGCTTAGCTCAGTGCTAGGAGCTATGAATGCAGAGATGAATAAAATATTCCACCTTTCATGGAGCCCTCAGTCTAGCAACCAGGAAGTGATGTGTAGTGGTGGTGGGTCACTGGAAAATGTGGCCAGCGCTCTCTACGATGACCAAAGCGGTTGTCCTCATCCCCATTTCTGGTTTTCCCAACAGCTGTAGCCCAACTGGCCCACCCAACCTAGACCTCAGCCAGATTTCAGCCTCTCAGGATACAACCAACACCTGGGCTCCATGTTGGCTCAAAGCAGTCAACACTACCAAGGTCTCCAGAGGAAACTACTGATATCAGTAGCTACTGTCTATGTCTTCGCCAGCTGGAGAAATACAGAGGCAAGTTTGATAAGTCTTACAGGTTTGTCCTTGCCACAGTGATCAATGATGATCTGTCTTCTCTCTGATAAGTTAAATGCTTTCCAGACTTCAAGTGTCTCTCCCCACATCAAAAATAATTTAAATATTGGCCATGTTCCTCGAATTTTAGAACTTATTTTATCCTCAAACTGCAGATTAAATAACTAAGGTAGGAAGGAGTAAGCAACTTCCATGTTTATGGAATGGAAGCAATGTTCCATTCCAGTGAGAATGTAGGAGAGTCTGGGGCTAACATCTTGGTTTTCTGATTCTAATATAGTTGATGAACACAACGACTTTATACTATTAGAATAAAATAGCTCCCCTCTTTTGCTCCACAGTTAACCTATCCAACTCTCCAAACTGGAATAAGTCTGCTTATCTAGACAACTTGGATTCTAAATTAGTTGAGCTCAATGAGTGTGTTTGCTGAGTCCCTGTGGGTAGAGCATTGTGCTAATTACTATGGGGGATACAGAGGGAGGGTATACAAATCCTTACTGAAGTGAGCTTAAGGATGATTGTTCCAGCTTTAGGAAGTTTTAGGGAATATAATGCATGGGTGGGATAAAGTATAATGTAGTGAGAGAAAAGTTATTGCATTTAACGGCACCTAATGACTTCGGGAGAAAACAAGTTCCTCACCTGACCCTAATGATGGCCCTATATGCCAAACATCAGACAACCACTTACTTCCATTGATCTCACAGAAACAGGAGGGCTTTAATGCTCTTAAACAAGCTGGTAAATGGCTCTGCCTCTAGGGCCCTGCAATCAAACTGATCCTATGGTAGCTGGCACAAGAGGAGGATGAATTGTGTTTGTGACAATGTCCACAAAGTGGTAGAGGAAAAGGTTTGGGGCTTTTGAAGTTGCAAATGAGCTGGTTCACAGTAACATTACACAATGCTGGAAAAACATATTTAGCAAAATTTGGACTCAATGAACACTAAATATTTAGCCCATGATCTGCAATCATTCTGTCACAGATGATCTACTATTGGGTTGTGCCAACAATGACTTTTCTAAGGGAGATCAGGGATCACCACAACAGCACTCACGCACCTGAAATGGAAATGATATATTCAAGAAAAGATAAAAAATAATAAAGAATAAAATTCTTATTTTCAAATTTTAGTCTCTGACCTAAGCAAATAATTGACTACCATAGATGTTAACTAATAATGATGCTCACAAATATGCAGATTTACATACATCCTAGGATGACTATGATCAATAACAAGGTAAAACACATTTTTTTAACATATAGCAGAATTGTAATTCATTATGTCAATGGAAATGGCAATTAACATTATGTCATTTCAATATTCAATGGCAAACAAGTAAAAGAAGGAAGGAGAAGGTTAACCCAACGTATAGATTATATGTAATTTATGTAATAATTATTGTTTGGTTATAAACTAATTGGAGTAAATCTGTTTTTGTTGACTCTTGGGTCCTGTCAATTAGCCAGACCATTGAGAAACAAAAAACTAGACTATACTGGGGCCAGTCTGGTGGCACAGCAGTTAGGTTTATGCACTCAGCTTCAGCGGCCTGGGGTTCGCAGGTTCAGATCCTGGGTATGGACCTATGCACCACTCATCAAGCCATGCTGTGGCAGGTGTCCCACATATAAAATAGAAGAAGATGGGCACAGATTTTAGCTCAGGGCTAATCTTCCTCAAAAGAAAAAAACTGGACTATAAAGTCAAGTTATTTGGTAACTGGACTTTAGAAAACTGTTAGACAGACATAAATGAAACACATTTAAAGCTGTTTGTGAGCCTTGTTTTAGCCCATCAAGGGTGAACTTTAGCAGACACACATAATGACAAATGGATGCTTTGGTTTCTTTGAGACACATCATTGACCCCTTGGGAATGTGACCTTGAGAGTCATCCGGGTGAGCAAAATTTACATGATTGGATGTAAAGGTCAGTGACTAAAGAGGTGACTATGAGGTCACCTGTTTATGCTACACCAACCATGACATAACTTAAACTGAAGGCCATTCATCCTCCCTTGGGGGAATGAAGCTGATACAACAAGGGACTACAGATTCTGTTGCAGAATCAGGACCCCAATGCTTACACACTTATGAGAGTGGACACCTTCTTCACATATGGAGTAGGAGCCACTGTCTCCAAAGCTACTGAGTGTCACACAACCAAACCCCCTCAGCCTGCCACTATTAATTATGTTAATGCTCTTAGTGTCATTTTATAATAGATTACATCAGCAATAAGACTAATCAAAACTAGGCACAAACTCATGATATTTGATGGATATATCATTGCATATCGTTTGAAAGCTTCTGGCAGAACATAATGCTGGAAAAGATTATTGAAGACTAAATTTAAAAATAAGGGAGAACATTGGCTCCTAAATCTCGCAACTGTGGTATTACAGCTAAATGCAAGGATAAATTGGCAGCTTCACTAGCTGAATGGTTACTCTTAAGGAAAGTTTATTAATGAACATACAAAACATTTCACACGCATTGGTCCACAAGAGCCCTTCTACGATCTCTGCCCAGACACGGGACTTGACATGGGCTGAGTTATTCCTCTTCCTGGGGCTGGTGAGAAAACTCCCAATGAATGGAATAAGATTTTTCTCACCAGGCAAATGCACAAGTCCCTGAAGATATGGTCAATGCCAGATCTAGCTTGAATCCAAAAAGCATTTATCTGTGGGAGGATACAAGATCAATATACAAAAATTAATTGTGTTTTATGTGATTGCAATGCCTAATTAAAATATAAAAACTGATATGACTTACAATAGCATCAAACGTGAAATATTTAGGGGTAAATCTGACTCGAAATTACAAAATATTTCACAGATAAATTAATGAATACCTAGAAAATGGAGAGAAACTTTTTGTTCAAGGGTCAGGAGACTTGTATTGTTCAGATGTCAATTTCTCCCAATTTGATCTACAGATTCAATGCAATCCCTCTCAAAGTCTCAGCAAGTATCTTTGGTAGAAAGAGACCAGTTGATTCTAAACTTAAAATGAAATTGCAAATGACCTAGCATAGCCAAAACACCTGTGAAATGAAGAACAAAGTTTGAGGGCTAGCTCTACCTGAATTGAAGATCTATTGTGAAGTTATAGTAATCAAAACAGATTGGTATTGGCATATAACAGATAAATAGATCAATGAAATAGAATATAGAGTTTGAAAGTAAGCTAATACCTATATGGTGAACAAATTTTTGACAAACGTGAAAGGCAAAGCATTCTAAGAATTATAATCTTTCCAGAAGTGGTGAAGGATAATCTTTTCAACAAATGAATATGGATATGACATATCCATATGCTATGAAAATAAACAAATACATAAAATTGGATCCATACCTCACACCATATAAAAAATTAACCTAAAGTAGATTATAAACCTCAATGTAACACTTAAAACTTTAAAACTTCTAGAAGAAAACATAGTAGAAAAATCTTTGTAAACTTGAGTTAGACAGTGATTTCTTAGATATGACACCAAAACCACAATTAATAAAAGAACAAATTGATAATTTGGACTTCATGAATATTAAAAACTTTTGCTCTTCAAAAGACATTGGCAAGAGAATGAAAAGGCAAGTCACACTTAGGGAGAAAATATTGGTATTGGAGAAAGGGCTTCTATCTAGAACATTTAAAGAACTCACAAAACTCCATAATCAGAAGGCAAACAACCCATTTCAAAAATAGCTAAAAGATTTGTAAAGATATTTCAGCAAAGAATTTATATTGAAGGCACGTAAATACATGAGAAGATGCTCTATACATTGTTAGTCATTAGGAAAATGCAAATGTAAACCACTATATACCAATTAAAATGGCTACAATGAAAAGAATCTCCACTCCAAGCATAGAAAAGGATATGTAGGAACTAGAATTCTCATTCGCTGCTGAGGGGAATGTGAAATTATACAACTACTTTAGAAAACTGTTTGAAAGTTTTAAAAATATTAGAACTTTACCTACCATATGATACCACCATTCCACCCAAATGGAAAGGAAGGATATATTCATACAAATCTCTTGACAGAAGCTTTATTTTTAATGCTGAAAAGCCATCCAAAGCTATCAACAGGTGATGGAATAAAACAAATCGTGATGTATCCACCTCATGGAATACTACTCAGCTTAACAGAGTGATCCCGTGATGTACACAACAACAGGGGCAAATCTCCAAATAATTATTCTGAGTAAAAAAAGTCAAAACAAAATAATGTGCATAGTACATGATTGTATTTATATCAAACCTTAAAAAATGCAAATCAATCTTTTGTGACGGAAAGCCAGTGAGTGATTTCCTGGGTTGGGAATGTGAGAGAGGAATTACTAGGGACACCAGGAAACTTTTGGGGATGACAGATATATTCACTATCTTGATTATGGATGCATATATATCAACAGACTTATTAAATTGCACATCTTAATTGTATGCACTTTATTGCACGCACAAGAAACTTTTGGGGTAATGGAAATGCCCTGCATCCTGTAGCAGCAGTTTCATTAGTGTATACATCTGTCAAAATGCACTTAATTGTACACGTTGAAGTGATGCAGTCTACCTAACCTAAATTATACCTCAATAAAGTTGATTTCATAATCTGTTGTATTTGTCCATACTAGCAATTAGCAGGTAGAAAATGAAGTTCAATAAGACACAATAGAGATTATCATCTAAAGTCATTAAATGCTGGGAATATATATAATGAAGCAGAAGCGAGACCCCTTAAAACTATTGCTGAAAGAAATTAAAGACTAAGTAAATAGAGAAATATAGTGTATATCAAGTTCATTGATTGTAAGACTCAGTTTTGTTAGGATGTCAAATCAACATTATTCTGATGAATATTGCATTTGCATTTCTGGAGAAATTGACAAGCTAATTTTAAAATATATATGAAAATCAATAAACTTACAAAAAACAAGATACTCTTGAAGAAGCATTAAGATAGAG